CCCAAACTTCGCCCGACTTCCGCCCTTGGTCCCGCCCCGCCCGCCAGAGGGCCGGCCAATGGCAGCCGTCCTTTCTCCCGCCCCTCTCTTCCTCCAAAGAGTCCTTCCAGACGGCGGCTGCGCTGTCGTGACGTTCGCGTAACTCTAGCCGCGCCGCTCTATGGTTACGCAGAGGCGTGAGGGGGCGCTGTGTTGTAGTCTCGCATTGGCCACCTCAGCCTCTCGCCCGCGTCCGGAGCGGGGCTGTTTTCTCCTCAGGAGGTAGCTGTGAGGGGGAGTGAAAGATGGCGGCTGCCGTGAGGCAGGAGTTGACCCAGCTCATGAGCTCCAGCGGCTCCCACAAGGACTTGGCGGGGAAGTGAGTGAGCCCTCCCTCTGTCCCTGGTTTCTAATGGCGACGAAGGTGGTGGTGGTGGGTCTAGTGGGGGGGCAGGAGAGTCGGTGGGTCCAGGGCTAGGGAGGTGGAGATCTAAAACCATCGACTGCCCTCTTCGCTCATCGCTTGCTTCAGGTTGTGGCCCTCCCAAGTTCCGTTGGTCTCCAACGCCTCTGTCAGCCCTTCGCAGTAGAACCGGCGGCGGGGGTTGATGGGAGTTGTAATCCAACAACATCCGGAGAGGCATAGCTTGCCGAAGCGTCCGCCTCCCCTCCCCCGAATTTAAATGGGGTTAAATATGAACACTGACCATTTGCTGGCGATTGAACTGCTGTTAAAAGGGAGGGCTTGAAGGGGACAGCTTTTAAAATAATCCTCATTTTTTGTTATGATGTTCATGGGTCTTGACCGGTAGTGAAAAAAGAGATTCTGGCGCTGAGAGTCATAGGCTTCAAAGTCCAATCATACTTCAGGGTAGTGGGAGGCCAGTATAAATAGGGGAAGGTTACAGTGTTGTTAAAGAGATTCCTTCCTTTATTTATTTATATGCCGCCCACACTACCCGAAGGTCTCTGGGTGGCTTACAACATTTAAAATATAATAAAAGGGCAAAATAATTAAAATGCAATTAAAAATATATACTCTAAAAAATGCCATCAGACCCACAGCTGATGTTATTTCAATTAAACGCCTTCTGGCATAGGAAGGTTTTGACCTGGCGCTGAAACGTCATCAGCGTCAGCGCCAGACAAATCTCAGTCGGGAGGGCATTCCATAGTCTGGGAGCAGCTGCCGAAAAGGCCCTTTCTCTACAAGCTGTCCCTCTTACCTCCTTAAGGGACAGCTCTTTCCAAAGGGCCCCCTGGCTAGATCTTAACTGTTGGGTAGGTTCATAACCTCTGCTGTCCAGGATTTCTGGGAGTTGAAGTCCAAGAACATCTGGAGGCCCAAGGTTGGGGACCACTGCCTTAAGGGACGGCTAGATCTTAACTGCCGGGTAGGCTCATATGGAAGGAGGCGGTCCTTCAGGTATCTAGGGACCAAGCCGTTTAGTGGAATGCTCTGCTAAACAGGGTTTAATAGAAGCAGAGCGTAATTTCCAAATAGTTTGCTTGTATCAGCTGTAATTTTAGCCTTTTGTTTCTGATCATGGGGCATTCTTGGCAAAGATACTGGAGTGGAATTGCCGGTTCCTACCCCAGGTGGATTGCGTTTAGTCAGAACTCTCCACTATGACCTGTCCGTCTTGGGTGGCCCTGCACGGCATAGCCCATAGCTTCTCTGAGTTACTCAAGCCCCCTCGCCACGACAAGGCAGCAA